AAAATATCTGAGAATGCCAGAAAAGCAGTATCTATAATTGATCATAAGCAGGTCTGATGTTGAAAATTATTTTCAATGATCAATTTTGCAAATCTTATCATAATAAATAATTGAGGAAAGCAAAATTTTTATGATTTCCCGAACAGTTTTATGTAGCGGTATTTTACTGCAGTAGTTTTTCTCTGCTGCAGGTGACATTCACACGATTGGACGTCGAAGGAGGTGCGTCTTCGTCGACGTGTGAAGCGGACTACGTGTCAGTTAGGAACGGGGAAAGAGACGATTCGCCGGAAATCGGTCGATACTGTAGTTCGACCCCGACGTCGGTCAGAAGCGTGGTCACTTCCAATCACATGGTGTATTTGCAGTTTCATTCGAACGGAGATTCGCAGACATCAGCTGGTTTCAGCGTTGACGTGGCTCCAACGAGTTCAGGTACGGATTTTCTCCAAAATGTTGTCCCACATCTGCCAACTCATATACTTCACCCTGGGTGTATAACACTGCGTTTTTCGGGAAGTTTGAAGGCAACATTTTTGCGATTTCTTTTTTCATTCGTTGATGAAATTTTTGCGATGAGAGAACTCAATTGATTCTTGAGACCCAGGTAAATCAAGTTTCCTGTGTGATTAGACTTTGCGTGCTTTGCTTTTTTGTGCAACATTTTTGATCGAGGTTTGTTTTTGGTATTTCTGGAGCTAAAAAATCAAGAAGCTTCTTGATATTTTTCTTTATAATGTATCTTGTTACGACACATCTCGTTGCAACAAATTATCCTTTGAGGTTCTCTAGAGCAATATTCTATTTTAAGCTTGGGTTTGTTGGGATAAGGAAAGAATTGCATCTCTGCCTGAAAAGCATCAACTGTGAAACAGGGGTGCCTCTAATAATTAACTTGATATGCTCGAGAGGGAAGTACATTGTCCGAAACGTAATTGATTGGTTCCAGTCCCCAGAGTGTGTTCATTTTTTTTATTTTCAAAATCCATTTAAATTTAATTCATTTATATGTCCTATGTTCGAAGGTTGTGGAGGAATCTTTCATGGTAGTGAAGGTAACATCACGTCGCCTGGGTTTCCTGGTCGTTACCCGGCTTCTTTGGAATGCGAATGGGAAATTGTTGCTCGTCCCGGGTTCCACGTTTCTTTGGATTTTGTCGAGCGATTTGACATGGAGGTGTCAAGTTCTTGCTTGAACGACAACGTCAAAGTATGCTTTTGTGTGAATTAATTTGTGATCCAGTATTCGTGGTTGGTGACGCAATTTTTTCCCCCTAAGATTTCCTATATGCACACAAATGGAACGTGGCTCGAAGAAGGGACATTTTGCGGGAAAACGATTCCGCATCCCAGCGTTGGCAAATATTTGACCAATCGAATCAAAGTGTCCTTCCGGTCGAATGCGAATATTGATGGTGACGGTTTCAAGGTGAGTTTCGTTTTAAATATATTCGTCGCATTATACTGTTGATTTGAATTCAAGAATAAATTTGAATTTCCATCATGTGTACGGTATGTCTAGATAAGTTGGAAAGAAGGGTGTGGCGAAGCATTCAATGGAACCAAGTTCGGGGAATTCAGCAGTCCCGGTTACCCTGGTGCTTATTCTCCGGGCCTCAATTGTTCCTGGATAATTGACACTTCCCCAGGAGCCGTCGTGATTCTCAACTTCGACGCCGGTTTCTTCGTCGAATGTAATTATGTGTTATAATTTTTTCGTTATTTATTTTCGAACTTCAAATTGTAATTAGCCCGTTTAAATGCCACTTAGCAGGTAACAATTCTGCGTCGATATGCAAAAAGTTTTCTATTCTCGAGTACAGCGCGTATATATTTCCAAGAAGTTGCTAAGAAATGTATATGTCTTCAACCATCACAATGATGAATTGTTTAAATGTGGGTCGATCTCTCTTGCATTCTTGATTTAAATTCAATTGACAAAATTCAGAACGTTGATTTTATTCTATGCAAAAAATTGAAGACATTTTTTCTGCCCCAATAAGCGATTCATCCATCGCCGATTTTGGCACAATTTTTCGTCCACTACTCCAAAGATTTGAGACATGTAAAGAATTGTCTTTTACTCTCCAAATTAACTCTATAGCTTAAGTTAAGTTTGATTTATATTTAAATGCGGTTTAACGCGTAGATTTTTTTTTTTTTACGTTGAAAGAAACTTCGAAGCTGTTTTTTGCTGCTTGGAATTTTTCTAAAAATTTGCATCACATTTGAAATAGTCGCTAAAATGTTTACCGCTCGCTTTCTAATTTTCTGAATGTTGCTTTGTCTTATTTTGCTCTACTATAGCTGCCTATGGATGCATTTATGACTATGTTTCATTCCTTACGTCTTCAACACGTACGTCAAATGGAGCTGTTTGGACACAGGAAGGTCCAAATTTGTGTGGGAGGTACGATGAACCCGTTACCAGGGTTTTTCGGGGTCCGATCGTCGTTCGTTTCGTATCCGACTCGGACGATGGAACCGGAGCACAGACGGGATTTCAGGCGAACTTCACAGTCGAAGGTCATTACTGCACATAACTTTTTTTTAAATGACATAATCGTGAATTCGTGGATTAGTTTGACGATTGGCTTTTTTTTTACTCATCTGACGTGTTGATCGTGACCCTGAAAATTGTGATTTTGTCATTCAACATTTATAAATTGTATGAAGTATTGAATTTCCGATTTTCTGTTTGGTTTCGTCTATTTTTCGTTTTAGATTGCGGAGGCACAGTGACGGAAGAGGGAGAACTAAGTTCCCCAGGTCACCAGCATTACAGTTTCTTCGATACTAATTGTACTTGGACAATCGAAGCTCCGACGGATAAAATCGCGGCTTTGAAATTCGAAAAAATCTACACGGCTTCCGATGACAATTGCAGCACGGATTTCGTCGCAGTTTTTGATGGCGCAAACCTGAATTCGTCGCTGATTGGTAAGCTGATAACAGCACTACTGTATATTTTAATTGTCCTGTCGTTGAAAGGTTATTCAACTATTTCTTTGTTTCCCCACCTCAGGCAAGTATTGTGGAGGCGACCCGTACCAATTGAATGTACCTGACAGAGCGGCAAGATCAAGCGGGAACAAGATGACGGTTCAATTTTTCACCCATCCCAACGGGTACTCGTTTTATCGCGGCGGGTTTCAGGGTGTTGTCTCCTTCACTTATGGTGAGTCATCTTCTACAATTGAACCTCGATAACTCGAACCTGCCGACGTTGAACAATTTTTCAAGTCCTTGGCTGGATTCCCTTGTAGAATTGATGCATTAAATCATCTCTATGTACTCGAAAGCTTTCCCCCGCAAATCTCCGTGACTCGAATTTTCTGGAGGCCTTTCGGCTATTATTTTATTGACACAGGAAATAGAAAGGCAATAAAAATGTAACTTAATGTATTGTGACAGGATGTGAAAGACTAATTGAGCAAGTGAACTTTTATCTTCAACTCCAGGAAGAGGGAAAGTCGAATTTGCTGAGACAAATCTTATCTTCAACCATGTTATTTCTGTATTTATTTTTTAATCACACAATAGGTCCTAGCAAAGGTTGTGGAGGCAAGTTCAACGTGACTTCGTCAGGCGTGAGTTTCGGCTCGCCAGACGTGGACAATAACGGAAAATACGAGCCTGACTTGGACTGTATTTGGTACTTCAGAGCTATTGATTCCAACAAAGTGCTCAGACTCACCTTTTCGTCTGTGTTTGACATCCAAGCCTTGGAATTGAACTCTCGCCCTTGCGGATACGATTTTCTGGAGGTACACGTGAACACATTTTTTGTGAAAGATCATTCATTTTATTTTAGTTGAACGTTGATAAATTGGACCTCATCCCTTTATCGATTTTTTTTTTCAAGTCCCTTTCTGAATTTCCTCAGATGTCAGAAGTGATGCGCTAAAAATCTCCCTCACTCGAAAGCTTTTCCACTCAAAGCTGCATGACTCGAATTTTCTGGTGATGATTTTATTGACGCGTGAAAGAGAAAAGCAATAAAATGTAAGGATATTTTTTGAAAGAAAGTCGGGCAAATGAACCCTTAGCCTCAGAGTTCAGCATATTATCAACTCATTTGTGAATCAATGTAAGGCCCATCAGAATATCCCCTTCAATTTTTCTTTCGTTCCTCCCAACTAAAATGCTTTTTTCCCATAACTCGACTTTTGTGAAGTTAGAATTGAAGACGTTGGACTGTAAATGGGTTCTTCTCGGTTTTTTAAAAGGTGTTTGATGGAAGTCACCTTACGGAAGACTCTTTGGGTCGTTTCTGTGGAACAACCGTTCCGCCATCGTTGACATCGTCGTCATCTTGGTTGGCTGTTCGCTTCGTCAGTGATGGAGACGGAGATAATGCCGGTTTCCGGGCAAGAATCACGTTGGCAGACAGTCCTTGTGGCGGTGTTGAACTTCCTTGGGTAAAAAAAAGCTCTCATAAAGGTTCTTCCCAAAAAAGGCGAACTCAGAAAATACTGTTTACTATCCAAGTCCTTAAGTTTTCTACGTGGAAAAAGTCCCATAGGTTTACGGACATTAAGGCGTGGGTGTAATAACTGTGTTTATCTTCTGGTCTGGAGCTCATATCCGTCTAATTACTCTGTTCCGAAATGATGATTCCTGCGTAAAGCTTTCGAGGCAATTATCCATGTAATAGAGCGACCAAATTTTGCATCAATTCTTTCTGCAGCCAATAATGTACAGAAATGCTAAATTTATGAAAGTGTGTCGATAGCACATAGATGTCGCTCCCAGAGGAATATACAGTATAGAAGTTAGTCTTCGGGAAAATGATCTCCTAGAATGATGATGGTCAATCATTTATGCTGTATTTTCGCCCCGTTACTTTTTTATGTCTGTGCTGGGACTCACTGAAAAAGTGTAATGTACACAATTTGATTTTAAATCGAAATTTAGTCTTGATCCTTCACCTAGCGAGGTAGTGATGCGAATATTTTCTTTTGTATTCGCAGGCCAGTGCAGATCAGACGAGGGAGCTGACTTTGCCATCATACCCGAACACGTATCCAGCCGGTTTGCGGTGTTCCTGGATTCTCGAAGCCCCACCGCAGAAGAAAATCCGTATAGCTCTTTTGGATATCGACATGGAGTCGAGTCGGAATTGCACCAAGGATCGACTGGAGATCATCGACATGCCGCCATCTGCTGGAGAATTGCACGCCAGTCTTGCCAACGTCTACAATGTTCGCTACGTGAACTCGCCCAGATACACCGTCACTTCCGACTCCGTGTCGGCAGCAGTTATTTGGGCGAGTTCATCACAATATCCCCCATAATTTTCGTGATAACCAGTTGAGGGCTATTCAAGTAGAAAAAATGATTCTGGATTTTACTAATTACACTTTTAAGATGTACACTTACCGCATCTTTTTTTGGGTTAATGATAAAGACGACGTGATGTGAATTTATCTTGAGCTTGGCAAGCCATTCAATTTCAGTTTTGACATACCTGTACTACACTAGCATTTATTATTTTTTATAATAATCTTACTGTGCATTTGAAGCTGTTTCTATTTGTTTTTTTGTTTGTTTTTTTGCCATGAAACTGTAAGGAAGAAGGCTTCACGTATACCAAGATTTCAAAACATGCGTTCTATCTCTGTTTTATAGTTCCAAGGTTTAATCCAAGTTCGTCAATATTTGAAAGTTTATCCTTGTGTTTATACTGATTTTGTGAATATGTCTCTCTTTTTTAACACGCGGCATTGTGTAGGAATTTGCCTTTAATTTTTAAGGCTTCCCTATGATGAGGGATTGATTCATTGACGAATGAAAATTGAAGTTTTAAAAATATATTTTGAACAATTTTTGCAGCCGACGGATGACCAAACCCACAAATATTGCGGAAGATCGCATCCGAGAGACTTCTACTCAGTTTCATCCAGGGTTCGTGTCAAGTTCGTGTCAGATTCCTCGGAACAAAGTGGGAAAGGATTCCGCTTGAGTTACAAAATTGCGGGTTGGTGTCGCATATTCATCAGTGATAATTCTTGTTGTCGTTAGTTTAGATAAGTCGTATTGAAAAATGAATTTGAATTTCGTTCAGAATGTAACCGGAATTATTCTGAGCCTTCTGGTCGGTTGGTGAATCCGAATTGGCCTCAAGCTACTGAGGATAATTCGAGATGCGAACTGCTCATCACTGCCCCGAATCCGACGGATACCGTGTCGCTTTATTTCACGATTCCAGTCGTCACCAGAACTTCAAATAACTGTTCGACTTCTGGATTGAAAGTGAGTCATTCGCCGAGGATTTCCCTTGTTGAATTATTATTTTTTTTTTAAGATGCAGAGGTGCCTCGCTTCGTTGCACAGACCTAATCCTTTCTAATGTGAGACGTTTGTTATCCGAGGACAGATGTGATGCGTGAAGCTATGCGTCGGTATAGTTAATTATATGTGACTAGTTCAATCCTAACCGCGAAAAAGACAATCGACAGCTTTTTGAGAAGAATCGTCTGTTTTCAAGCATTGAATGATGTTCTAGATTGTTTTTTTAAACATCATTTCCCTTTATTGTTCCTGGGTGGTTAATTTTGTTCTTCTTTTATGGCCCAGAAACGGATACAATGTCTGTTATCAGGAGTCCTCAGCAGACAGTTGTTGAACTCTCTTATACTTGAAATAACTGGGAAAACGTAGAGAAAACTTCTGAAAACACTCAAATATAAAAAATCTTAATCAATATGTGAAAACGTATGATGGAGAGCCTTAGATGAATTTCGGTATTATTCCAGGCGGTAAACGTGGTTTTCCAGGACAATTTATCTTCAAATTATTTGATATTAAAGCTGGTGTTGTTGGCTTGAATTTATTATGCAGGATGAGGATAAGTTTTATTGAATCGAACCGAAGGGTTTTCGGGTCAGCAATTAAAGCGACACCTACGTCTTGTTCCCGGCAGCAAAATCGGCGTTTCGTGAATAAAACCAAGAAGGGAACAGCGCTCTTTCGGAGCCTTGAACAGCATCTTTCTTAAATTTTATTATTTTTGCCTCTATGAACTATCAAAGAAAATTTCTGGAAAGTAAGTTCTTCTTGTTGAAGAAGTGCGTGAACATTCGAATGGATGGTTATAATTTTTTTTGTGGCATTTTTGCGTTGCTTGTTATTTTTTTGCTGCTGGATGATCCTTGTAAGCATTTCGCTTATTTTCAACATTCGTCGCGTACCTGGATTTAGATTATTGTTATCGTCGTACACCAGTCTTCTCAAAAGCATTCCTATATCACATCGTTTCAAGGGTTTGTTTTTCGAGTCCGATCTTGAATGGGTTCTATTCATGATTCATGCTTGTATTTTATTTCATTTTACCCGTATTCCTTCAGGTTTACGATGGTGGGAATGCGACTGGTCGACTGCTGTCGCACGCGTGTGGTTGGAATGCTTTGAATCCTATTTTTTCGACCAGAAATCAATTGTTTGTCGTTTTTGAGAGCGGCAGTGGTGGCGATTTCAGCTTGGACCCAAACTCTCCCAACTACGACATGGTTTACACTACCACAAGTCACGGTTCGTTTATCATGCAGTAGTTCAAGCGTTTCATTTGAATCAGTTTATTGTTCTTGAAACCGGTGCTCCGCGGAGCCCTAGGAAGGCTCCGTGCGGTCCTTGCCGAAGAATCAGCGAGGAAAACGGCCTAACATGAAATAAAATGAGGAAAAATGAACCCTCTTGCACTTATGGAGATGAATCAAGCTCAAAAAGTTGTCTTTAAAAATAGGTTTAAATGCACCAAAATGTCCGTAACCCAACCCAAAAGGATAAAAAAATAATTTCTCACCAGGTGTTCCTCCAGAAAAACTTATTCGGAAAATACAGTAGCACTAACGATAGAAGGATTCACATTAGCTAAGCCTGCGTAATTCGAACCTCCCTATATCGATTTTATTTTCCAAGTCCCTGTCTGCTGTAATCCTTTGGAAACAATGCAGTAAAATAACTCAAAGTCTTTCCCCCTCAAACCTCCATGATTCGAATTTTCTGGAGGCCTTTTGGTTAATAATTTATTCAGACAGGAAATAGTAAAGCAAAAAATGTAATACTGTAATGTGTTTTGAAAAAGGTGAGAGACAAATTGAGGAAATGAACCCTTGCCTCAAAGTTCAGCATCCTGTCAACTTGACTAAGAAGTAATTAAACGACCATGCAGAATATCACCAATTTCAATTTACTTAAATATTTCTTTCCCATGACAAAAATGTTTATTTCCTGTACTTGAAACCTCACCAACCCTTTTTTTCTTGTCCCTTCAAGATTCAATGTGATAGGTAACACTGTTCATAGTTGAAGAGCGACATCTTTGAGATCCTATACGCAGTGATACGAAACTAATTACTTTACCTCGACGAGAGTGAGCAACTCATGATTTTCAAAACAAAATTCGCTTGAATGAAAAAGGATTCGCGCGAGTCGGGTTCAAGTAGTGTCATGAACATGCGTATATTTTTTGCAGGTCGAGGATGCGGAGGTGCACCGATTATGTCCAATTATGCGCAGATCTACAGTCCGAATTTCGACTACGGCAGAAATTTGAATGAAACTAGCAATGGAACCGTGGTATACGACTGCACGTGGGACGTCGGCGTTTCTACAGTATATCACGCCAACGTTCACATCTTAGGTTTGTCTTGATGATCGAATTACATTGAGGTTTCGAGACTTGTTTACAACGAAGGATTTACAGATTTCAACCTCGGAAACACGAACTGCACCGACAATTTCTTGGAGATTTACGCCCTGGACCAACATTCGCAAACTGCTAGTCTGCATCGACGTCTGTGTCCGGAACAAGCTTCTGTAAATGAGTTTTCGTTTTCTATTCTCCACGCGGGATAATTCAAAAGTTTTTTCAGTAAATTTGACATTGAATTATTTTAATTTACTGTACCCGAATTTTCTCGAATACCGCGCGCTCCTTTTTCCAAAATCGAGTGAAACAAAGAGGGTGCCGCTACTGAATAAGCGAGCATAAAATTTTTCGAGTTAGGTCGTTCAAAATAATTGATCATCATGAAAAATTTTCAAATGATTTCGCCAAAAAATTATATCCAATGGAAAACGAATTCAATTCAGGTTCAATTCAACTTCACATTTTAGTTTTGACATGCCTCAGTGTGTAAGATGCATAGATGAACGAAACGAACCCGTTTTTAATTTTTGGGGATTTTCTCACCTAATTTCTGCCGTAATTTTGGAGTGTCTTCTCAAAAATTGAAATTTTAACGCATAGTTCCCTATTGAAATGACAAGCAATGAAATTTTCAAGATACGGATATAAAGGCAAATGTTTTCATTGGAATGTCAGATTTCAGAAATTTTCACCGAAATTATTTTCCGATTTTCAATAGATTGCGCACTTTGATCAGCTTCAACTTGATGCAAAATTCAATATTGAAAGGTAACATTTATTCTTCCGACTGATGGGTTGCAGTTTAAGCTGTCCACTGTCATTAAATGTTGCTTGCATTTCCCTAAATTTGAAGGAACTGCGTATATCAGCATATGGAACAGTCAGATACTGACAACTTATGAACTAGCCCTCGTATTTATCCAGTTTTCCTTTTTGCTAATTAAATGTTTCTTCTCGAAATACAGGAAGTCTTGAGCCCGTTGATCCTGCCGACGAATGGTGTGAGGTTACATTTCGTATCCTTCGGATTGGGAATCGGTTGGAGAATTGGCGTAGTTGCCAGTGAATTAATATGATGAAGTTTCCGAGGTCAGTATTGAATTCAGGCTCTTATGTGATTATATGGTCTGCTTATGTATGAGCTTGTTTTGCGAATGTTCGAGATGTTTGTTGACTTCTGGTAATAAATGTTGTTGGAATCATTGCCTCTGATTTTTTATTTTTATGATGTCTCCTGGAATCCGTCCATTCCAATTCGAAATGCATCATTTTTCCAATCTAACATACAGTGAAATCTGGTTACAACAAAGCTGTTGGGACTTGGGAGTACAGGAAAGAAGCTTTGTTATGAACAAAGTCATAAAAATGTAGTTGCGGCAATATTGCATGACTTGAGAAATTATACATTGTAAGAAGTAACTCATTACAGTAAAATGTAGCTATTGCAAATTTGTTGGGACCCCTGACATTAAAAAAACCTAATGACAAGATTTGTTGTTATACAATTTTACTGTATTATGTGGGTGATATTTCTTCATTGATTGGAAGTAAACCATATTTCCTTGAGTACCACCCAAAATTTTACAAAATTTGAGTGAAAAGGGGGTGCAAGTCATAGGCATGGTCATAATGTTCTTGAAAATGGTCAAAAGTTCTGGTGCACATCCTACTGATTACAAGTTACAACATATAATTTTGGAAGATTAACACACAATTTGACTACAATTTATGTATGAATTTCACTGATACATCTTACTTGGGGATACATTTGCATCCAAATTTCAGGCTGAAAAATTGGGGTGCTGAATGTTGTATTTGAATAAATACAGAATGTTTTCCTCTTAGGATTGCTTTTCTACAGCATGTTTCATGAGCTTTAACATCCGCAGTGTTAACTGAGGATCCTATAGGGGTCTGGGGGAACTTTAATAAGGACCTTGTGTAACATGTGTCTGTGGCACCAACTTCAAGCAGGTTTTCCTTGGCATGGAAAAAAAATTAGGGTGCAATGAAATGGTTGTGTAGGTACCCAGTTCAATCCCACCCATTGGCACATTTTTTTTTTTAGAAAACGTTTCCTATTTTGATTTGAACTTCCTCCAGCCAAAAACATTCCAAATTTGTAGAAATGCATTGTGCATCCAAGAAAAATTTTAAAATTGAAATTGCTCCAAAAATATTATGAGTTAAACTTGAAAGTCCAAAATTTTTTTTTTCCAACCTTCTCAATATAAAAATTCACCATATGATTTCTGCTCAACAAAACTCTACCTTTTTTATAGGGTGGATGTGCAATGAAGTTCTGCACATTTCCCCATTTCTAACTTTGAAAAATTCCAAAAATTGACTGAGATATAAAAAAATGTGGACCTTTCTCAAAAATTGAGTGAAAAATGGGAAAAATTCCTTTTTAGATCTCAATTTTTAACTGATCACATTGAAAACCCCATGTCATTGCAAATACAGCTGCACAAAATTTTTTAATTCAGCAAAATAAAAAAAATCAATTTTTAAGTTCTTCCAGCCAAAAAATTCCAAATTTCCAGAATTTCACTCAGTATGTAATGATTTCAAATGTATGTTATGTAAGTATGTATGTATGTATGTATGTATGTATATTTTGCTACATTGGGGCACTAACATAGAAAAACAGTGCAATGTTATGTCTATAATGTGATACAGCAACTCTTTTTTCAAATATAATATATAAAAATTTGAATTCCCAAGTTCAATTAGGGTGCAATTAGTAGTAGAGCGTCTGCACTTGTGTAAGGTGTGTCTGTGGCCTAGGTGTAAAAAAAGTTATATGACCCCACATCATCTAGGTCCAACATTAAGTGCATGGCAATAGTTCATGGTGCAAAAGTTCCTGGTTCAAATCTGGCAGCAGTCAGGAATTTCTCAGCATAATCTATACCAGGGCTTTTCAACCTTTTTGAAGGGTGTACCCCTTTTCAACCTCTGGAACAGTCAGGTACCCCCACCACTAACTTAAAATGTGTGTTTAAATCATGTAATTAACCATATTTCCTAAAATTTCCTTGAAGCTTCCTAATTATATTAAAACAAAATTTACTCCAACAAATCTCTCTTGCATTTCACCTTTATTGATGAAGATGATGCATCAGGCAAACAATGTATATCAATAATGGAAATTTAGTG